CAAGTCCATGTGCTCAAGGGCCCATGTTCTGCGATAAGAGAAGCTCCCGTGTCCTGCAACTAGAGAAAGCTCACACGCTGCAGTGAAAGAGCTCATACACTGCAATGGAGACCTAGTGCAGCCAAAATAAAATAGATAAATAAAACAAAATGAAAGAAGGCACAGAGAGCTTGTAGATTGAAAAACAGTTCTGACACCTATGAAGCAAATAATGTGGGATTGGATCCGATGCTCAGATTGCAGTGCAACTCTGAGAAAGTCTCAGCCAGGATAACGGCAGCATGATATTCAAGGTTGCCTATTATTTTTTTTTTTCAAGGTTGCCTATTAAAGGAATCAGTTGCTTGAAAAGAAATGGGGCAGAACTGATACTCCCACCATTCTCCACGGCCTGGTGTAAACTATGCTGGGGGCTTTGAAAATACAACAGCTTGAGTTTGTCAGCTAATTGCTCTCCTTCTAATACATACTCTCTTGAAATGAGATATGAATAGTAAATGCCCATAGAGGACACAGGTACCACTAATAGAAGTATTGGATTCAAGTAATGAGAGAAGACATTAAAAATGGTTGCTTGTAGAGAAGAAGAAATGAATGGATTTAGCAAGAGACTGATGTTTCCTTGATGGCCTTTTGGAAGGCTATTACACAATAAGCCACACTGTAAGTGTGAGAGACACGAAAGGCACTTTGTGAGTGCTCAGTTGCTTGAGTCGTGTCCAGCGCTTCGCTACACTAAGGACTGTAGCCCGCCAGGCTCCTTTGTTCATGATATTCTCCAGGCAAGAAGCACTGGAGTGGGTTGCCATGCCCTTCTCCAAGGGATCTTCCTGACCCAGGGATTGAACCTTCATCTCCTGCATTACAGGCAGATTCTTTACCGCTGAGCCACCGGGGCTGCCCCTGACAAACTACATATGTGAGTTAAAGGACTTGTGGCAGAGATTGCTCTATGGATTCCAAAAGCTCTTTTTTTTTTTTTCTATTATATGTAAGCACACTACTTGCCCTATCCCCACTCTCTTTCAGCCAAGTGTAGCAGTATGATTGTGTTCTGGTCAATGGAGAGAGGTGGTGATATGTGCCACTCACTGGCAGCGTTCATAAACTCGGCCACAGACAATCCTCTCTTCCACTTTACCAGCTGGAAGCAAAGGATTCCAAGCTTTACCCTCCACAAGATGGAGAGAGCATGGGGTTTGAATCATTGCAAATGAGGCCACTTGGGAAATAACAAATAACACAAATACTTTGTGTTATTCTGGGTCTAAAATTGTATCTTTAGTATGATAATCTCCTGGTCCATCCATGTTGCTACGAAAGTCGTTATTTCATTCTTTCTAATGGCTGAGTAAAGTAAGTCAGAGTGAGAGAGACAAATATCTTATGATATTGCTTATATGTGGAATCTAAAAAAGTGATACAAATCAATTTACCTACACAACAGAAATAGACTCTGAGCAAACAAATCTATGATTACTGGGAGTGTGTGTGGGCAGGGGGATAGACTGGGAGCTTGGGACTGACATGCACACTCTGCTATCTTTAATATAGGTAACTGGACTTCCCTGGTGGTACAGTGAGTGGGAATCTGCCTAGCAATGCAGGGGACTCAGGTTCAGTCCCTGGTGCAGGAAGATTCCACATGCCGTGGGCTTTATAAAGTCCATGTGCCACAACTACTGAAGCCTGCCCTTGACCCACAGCTAATGAGGCCCTGTCCTACCACTGCTAAAGCCCACACTTCCTAGAGCCCACACACCACGCCGTAACTACTGAACCGGATGTGCCTAGAACCTGTGCTCCACGGCAAGAGAGACCACCACAAAGAGGAACCTGTGCACCGCAATGAAGAGTAGCCCGCACTCACAGCAAGGAGCAACAAAGACCCAGTGAAACCAAAAGTGAAAAGTAGACAACTTGGAAAAAATAGATAACCAATAAGGACCTACCGTATAGCACCGTGAAGTCTTCTCAATCCTCTGTAATAACCTAAATGAGAAACTAATTTGAAAAAGAATATATACACATATAGCTGAATCACTCTTCTGTATACTTGAAACTAACAAAGCATTGTTAATCAATTATACTCTAATATAAAATAAACATTTTTTAAAATAAAAATATATTTTTATTGTTTCAAGCTGATGACATTTGGAGATTAAACTATTATACTAGCTAGCATTAACCTAAAAAAGTGGTCCAAGATAAAGATACATGTATATGTATCACACAAAAAGATATATAGATTTCGACATAGTATCAGAGAGACATTTTTCCTTTGAATTATTTTTCTAAAGCTTTAGCTTCACATTCTCAACACTGAATTTATTAAGGTTTGACTAGCATCATAAATTTAGCAAGCTTACATATTTAACTTCTCCTAATTTCCTACTTCTAACAATAGTGCCAACATTTCCACAAACACTCCAGACATTTTATAGTTCTCTTTGATTCTTACCTTTGGAACAGTTCTCATGTTAGATTGGTAAATTCCTTTCTTTCTGTGTCTTTGTATGCATCCTGTTCTCCTTATTTATTCTATTACTATCATCCTAGAGTGTTTACTTTCCTGTCTAAACACGAATATAGATGCTTACTTAATCTACAGCCTTTCCCCAAATTATTTTTGCAAATGGACCCTGTCACTGTCCCCAGAGTATATCAGGGATTACAGTAACAATTATATTACAGAAAAAACACAGAATAAGAAGATCCCAGTTTGAAATATCTGTTTATTAACTGGGATGACTTTGGAAAGATGACCTGGACATTCGGAGCCTTGATTCTATCGTCTATTAAAAGTAGATAAATTTATTCAAACTACCACACAATTCCATTCATTTCACATGCTGGCAAAGAAATGCTCAAAATCCTTCAGGCTTCAGCAGTATCTGAACCAAGAACTTCGAGATGTACAAGCTGGATTTAGAAAAGGCAGAGGAATCAGAGATCAAATTGCCAAAATCTGTTGGATGGTAGAAAAAGAAAGAGAATTCCAGAAAGACATCTATTTCTGCTTCATTGGCTATGCTAAAGCCTTTAACTATGTAAATTACAACAAACTGTGGAAAATTCTTAAAGAGATGGGAATACCAGACCACCTGACCTTCCTCCTGAGAAACCTGTATACAGGTCAAGATGCAGCAGTTAGAACCGGACATGGAACAAAGTACTGCTTCAAAATTGGGAAAGGAGTACATCAAGACAGCGTATTGTCACCCTGCTTATTTAACTTCTATGCAGAATTCATCATGCAAAATGCCAAGCTGGATGAAGCACAAGCTAGAATCAAGATTGGAGGGAGAACTATCAATAACCTCATATATGCAGATGACACCACCCTTATGGCAGAAAGTGAAGAGGAATTAAAAAGCCTCTTGATGAAAGTGAAAGAGGAGAGTAAAAATGCTGGCTTAAAACTCAGGATTCAAAAAATGAAATCATGGCATCTGGTCCCATCATTTCATGGCAAATAGATGGGGAAAAAATGGAAATGGTGACAGATTTTACTTTCTTGGACTTCAAAATCACTGTGGACAGTGACTTCAGTTATGAAATTAAAAGATGCTTGCTCCTTGGAAGAAAAGGTATGGCAAACATAGACAACATATTAAAAATCAGAGGTATTACTTTGCCTACAAAGTTCTGTATAGTCAAAGCTATGGTTTTCCAGTAGTCATGTATGGGTGTGAGAGTTGGACCATAAAGACTGAGTGTCAAAGAATTGATGCCTCCGAACTATGTTGCTGGAGAAGACTCTTAAGAGTCTCTTGAACAGCAAGGAGATCAAACCAGTCAATCCTAAAGCAAATCAGTCCTGAATATTCATTGAAAGGACTGATGCTGAAGCTGAAGCTCCAATACTTTAGGCTCCTGATGCAAAGAGCTGATTCATTGGAAAAGACCCTGATGTTGGGAATGATTGAAGTCAGGAGGAGAAGGAGACAATAGAGGATGAGATTTTTGGATGGCATCACTGACTCAGTGGACATGAGTTTGGGCAAGCTTTGGGAGATGACGAAGGACAGAGAAGCCTGGTGTGCTGTAGTCCATGTGGTTTCAAAGAGTCAGACACAGCTGAGCATCTGAACATGACAAAATCTATTCACAGTATTGTTGCAAAATTTAATGAAGTGATTTGTAAATGGTGACAGGAAAACACCTGTCTCATAATAGTGCTTAAAATATATATCTTGAATTAAATATATTCTCTTTACCTCCTTCCTTTATCTCCTGCTTACACATTATTCTTCTTCCTCTCAACAAGATTGAATGCTATTTCTCTTTCAAGGAAAACTCAAATCTGATCTATTTTTGACTACCTCTATGGAAATCTTTATCACTTATCTTGCCTCATATTGTGAGTTAGCAATGATTTTCATATATAATCATTTTCTTTAAATAAGTTCCAAATGATTAGGGATCTACTTTATTCAAAGTTTTAAGTGTTTCTTAGAATATTATTTGAAGTTTCAGCTCATTGGTTGTTTCTCATTTTTGTTTTATCTGACCCATTCAGAATTCCTTTCTTCTTTTTTCATAAGTGATATTCTGACTTTCTTTTGGACATAAACTTCTCTGACACCTTTAGTCCCTATGGAACATCAATTCTACGGGATCCTATCCACAATCTTTAATGGCAGGCTCGGGATTAGGAGCTGGTATGAATCTATGTCATTCATTCTCCCATCCGAAGTGATTCAGACAGCATTTCTAAGTCAAGAAAGGCTCCATGATTTCTACTGGAGCAATAGAGGGAAAGCAATTATCTCACAGGAATTACAACGTAAAATTATATCAACTAGAGCAGTATTTTAACAGATATACAGTCACGCCTCGGTAATGCCTATGGATAACATAAAATATATCTCTTCCTCACTAATGGAGAAAAAAGAAACAAAAGCACATTATTTTTGACTTACATAAATTTCATTATTTTGCTGTTTAAACAAGCACATTTTTATGATATTTAAAAAGGTTCAAAGATCACTTCCATATTCAAATCTGTAAAAAATATTTTCGTTATGTTTATTATAAAAATATAAATGTTTCCACTACAAATCATTTTACATTAGTAAGAGGCCATCTACATTGTACAACATAGACTAAATGAGTAATGTTTTGAAAATGAAAATTTAAAGTACACACATATTGTCAATCATATCACATTTATACATGGCTTATTTGATACTTAGTACAGCTTAACATGGGCAAGTTACCAGAAATAAATATGTAAATCAAACTTAAGATACAATCAGATAATATAGTACCTGATATTATGAAGCAATTGTGGTTTCACGTTTACTGAAAGCCAACACAGTTTCTGTACAAAGAGATGGCCATAAGCATTCTAGTACCTCTACTCCACAGTTAAGAATCGTACACTGTTATGTTTACATATGTACAGGGTAAGGATTGTGAAAAGTAAATTTATAAGAAGTCAGATAGAAAAATAGTGAAAAATGAAGAGCAATATACTGCATATACAATTTCCACTTTCAAATGGAAACCACAGCCAAAATAAATGAAATAGATTAAACAATCCTCAACTTCTCCTAGTTCATGAAATACACAGATTTTGTGGAGTATGCACAGAATAGTACCTAAGAAAGTAAACGCTAGTCTGGAAAAAAATGAGATTGAAGCCAGATTCAGATCTCAATCTAACATTCCACAAAACAAAATGTTTGCTTAAAAAATGATTTTGAGCTGTTTCTAGCAGGCTTAAGTGAAATTTGTAATTAATTTCATAATCATATATATCTTTTTAAAAGGTTCATGCTCTTATACACCCAATACATAATTCTAGTAGGATGATTTGATTATAAGAATATCGAAGACATTTGAGAAATAATTTTATATATGAAGGAATACAACATAAGCCTTATTACACTAAATTTACAACAGATTAGCACTTGTGAAATTTGATCTGTGATTATAAACTGTATAAGTGTTCCATTTTGCATAAGAACATAAAGGTTGCAGCATTGTTTTATCCCTTCTATTCTTGTGACATATGCATTTCTTATTCCAATAACATGATCATATCATCATTAGAAAGATTATAGATAGAGCTAAAATATTGCTCCACCATCTATTATGGCTAGATCTCCACCAGGTATATACTTCAAATATTACAGAGTATGCTCATATTTGACCTTTATGGAATAGCAAGTCCAAGTTTCTGCAAGAAGAGATCTCTCCAGATTTTGAGTCTTGTTGGACAACCAGCTGTTTTGAAGATTATATGTTCAATGTGTCAAGAAGTTCAGTGTTTCTAAGATATATACCAAAACTATAATAGGTGCATTTCACTGGAGACTCAAAGATAATAATACTTGCTATTGATGATGACAATGTTTAAATAATTTAGCAAAAGCTCAGTGATGCAGATGAGTAGTTTAGTAATCCTTATTCCCTATAATCAGCTCAACAAGTTTAAGCAAATGTATAAAGTGGTATTTCAAAACCAGTCAGCCAGTGATCTTTTTGATTCATGCATCAGCTTATAGGCAGCATATAGGCTACATTGCCAATTAATACAGCAACCTAAATAGTATCCCAATCCTTTCCAGTGTAGCATTCTCTACTCAGGAGCTCTAATATAGCTCTTTTACCAAAGGAGGGAGTTTATGGTCTCCTAAGCACCGGAGCAAGGCAGGTATGTCATTGAAAATCCATTACACACAAGTCGGTATATCACACTAAACTAGGAGCACGCAGTTTATAATAAATGGAGAGACAAAAGTGGGTGGAATAATTCAGACTGTGAGAGATTTGGTTAGTGTATGAATGAGGAAAGGGTTTTGTTTCTTTTTACATATAGATATAGACACATATGAGTGTATGATTCAAACAATCTGGAAAGAAACACAACATTTTCTGTGTCTAGTTTATCATGTTTTCTGCTGCTGACAATTTGAGAGAGCTTTTGGCCCTTGGCTGTCACAAATCCAAGTTAAATCATCAAAGCATAAATAGAAAACAATGAAAGACAATTCAAAAGAAAATAAATATGTACTTTTCTTCAAAATTAAAACACATTTTTACATGATAATACTTAGGAAGGCTACCAATCAAAAATGTGTAATACTTAAAACAACTACAAACTTCATTTCTATATGCTTTTTAACAGATAAAAGAGAATAATACAATGAAAATGTAGTAAATATGGCCGGATAATTTGAGGTATGAATTCCTCTATTTTGCTTGCTTTCAAAGAAACAAAATACCTGTTACAGATCTCTTCTGGGTATAAAAATATCACAAGTCTGTTCTCTTGTGGCTATTCAGAAGCACAGCCACCATGTTCATTGCGCTATTTCATCTGTTTTGCTTTTATGAGAGTCAGTTTATGATCAATGGCTCTAGGCTAGTTCTTTGTCATTTTGCGCTGAAGAATTCTGATTTAATCCATCAACTAATATAAAAAAGCAATTAAAAAACAAAATACACCCACCCACCCATCCACTAAACAACAGGGGAAAATAAGGAGTTTTTGAATTCCATTTTAAGGCATTTTACTCGTATCTGAGTGTCTTATTGGGCTTGGAATGTCCACCAGTATTTCCAGTGTTGTCATCAAGTCTGCAGAGTGATGCCACATTTTCCACTTTCTTCCAGAAATAACACTTTACACTGGGACTGGACTATTCTTGGATTGTGTTTCTAGAACTTTAATACTACTGATGATCTTCTTCTGTGGCCCAACCACAGTGACACCGACCTTTTTCATGTCGCTGCTAAAAAGAGGAGAAAATTTCTGGTGAGAATCATGGCCTGCTGGACAGTATGTAAACAGGATATTTTCAATTAACAAAGCTTGTACAATTACAGGTCCCAATGCTCTAGGCATAATTTTCTGATTTTTGTAACATATATGTAATATTATATATCCTGATAACTCCACTGTTATCCTTGTGGAAGAATACAGGTTGTACGTTGAACATAGGAAGTGTGTTGAATAGTATTCCCCTCAAAATTCCTGTCCATCTGGAACTTCACCATGTAAGGGCCAGCTTGGGGATTGACTTGACTGATAGATTGTGTTTAAAGTGACAGTGTATCAGTTTCTGCATTCAGTTATTTAGCAACTAACAGATTCTACTTCTTATCTCCTGAGGCACCCTTTCTAGGCCCCAGAGCTGCCAGTGGAAAAATATGACTACCCATTGAAGAGGTCCGGAGAAGGCAATGGCACCCCACTCCAGTCCTCTTGCCTGGAAAATCCCATGGACAGAGGAGCCTGGTGGGCTGCAGACCATGGGGTCACTAAGAGTCAGACACGACTGAGCGACTTCACTTTCACTTTTCACTTTCATGCACTGGAGAAGGAAATGACAACCCAGTGTTCTTGCCTGGAGAATCCCAGGGACGGGGGAGCCTGGTGGGCTGCCGTCTATTGGGTCGCACAGAGTCGGACACGACTGAAGTGACTTAGCAGCATCAGCATCAGCATTGAAGAGGTCACCAGTAAGCACTTGGTCTACAGTCCTAGGTATATGTAGCATCTGAACCAGGGCAAAGAAGAATGAAATCATCTCAAGCCCTCCAGACTAGATCAGATTCATGTTAGTTGAATACTTCATTCAACTCTAGCACCAGACGTGAAGCATCACCCACCTGAGCTCTACCCAAATTCATGACTCATTTCACTGTGTGTACAACAAAATCCTTGTTGTTTTAGCCTTTTAGTTTGGGGAAGTGTGTTGTTCAGCCATAGATCACTGAAATAACTTCTTTAAAGTATAAAGTTCTTTCAAATTACAAAAAAATGGCAAGGATATTTCTCTATCAAAATCATTAAATTTAAAATAGTTAATACTTGGAAAGCAGGAATTGAAATAAATATTATAAGAATACATGGAACTTCATTTGTGGAGGAGAGGGAAGACTTAGCTAGACATGTGCAAATAATTAATTAAACATTCTTGATTTAAGTAATTAGTTCATACAATCACCTCTTTCAGGTTTTGACTCAAATATCCCTCTCTCATGAGATTTCCCTGATGCTCCTACTTCATATTGTAAAACCCCTCTGCACTCATATCTGCACTTCTATTACTTTTCTTGTTTCATTTTCTTCCAAAGTATTTATCACCATCCAGCATATTGCCCTTTTTTTTTGTTTGTTTGTTTATTTATTTTTTTACTCTCCATCTTGTCTCACAAGAAAGTGAATTTCATGTGAACAAGGATTCTTGTGGGTTTTGTACTATGCTTATCAAACACACCGTAAACAATCACTCTCATTTAGCAAGGGCTCAATATGTGCTTACTAAAGAATAAATCAGTTGTCCAAAATGTATTTATTTCGGAAGTTGACAGAGGATTAAGTGTAACTTGGAGTGCTAGGCAAATTGAAAATGGCAAGAAGAAAAAGCACACATAAGCAAATGCGCACAAAGGTGGGGCTCCTTTATATTGAGCATTAAAGAAAGAAATGAAAAATTGGGAATTTAACTACATAGAATTGTACCAAGTGATTTGTTAAAAAGTGAGTTCCCAAGCAATACAGGTGTGCAAGCAGACAATAGGCAACCACTTAAGAAGCAATTTACATGTTATTTAAGCATCTGCTGCATAAAATTAATCAAAGCTCAGTTGCATTCCTATTATCTAAGCTGGGAGTGAAATCACAATGCCCTACAGGTTACCCCTTAGGGGTAACCCCTAAGGACAGCCTGTGTTTTGCCTGAGGTCCTCTCTCCTCAGTCTTTAGCTACCTTGCTTCAACAGGAAGGCTAGTGGGGAGCTATGCTGACATCTAGCTTGCTGCCCTTTGTATAACTGTGGATAATGAAACCTTCATTTTGAGTGGTGGTGGTGATCAGTTGCTAAGTCATGTCCAATTCTTTTGGACTCCCTGGACTGAAGCAAGCCAGGCTTCCCTGTGCCTTCCCACACCTAGGTTATCTATGTTGAACCCTGCTTTTGAGAATGCGTGCTCTACAGGATTTTGATTCTTTTATAAAGATACCAGGGATCTATCTTTAAAATGAACAACAAACATTTCTCTACTCATCCTCAAACTATTACAAAGTCAGGTTATGAATCTAAGAGCCAGAAAACAGGACAGACATAAATATATGTGTATAAATCAATAGATTCTGTTTTTATATTTCTTCTCTCATCTTTCTTCCAATTCTCTCTCTCTCTCTCTCTCTATATATATATATATATATAGACATACATATTATACCTTGCTGATTTTTTTCTATGTCTCCCCTTTTCTGCCTTCTTTATAAGCTTAAAAACAAAAGGCAATCATGGGAAGATAGAAAAACTGCTCCAAGGTAATATACTAAATTTTCCTGAGGTCATCGATAAATTTCAGCATAATGAGGGAGTAATACAAGCTATGATGCTTAACTCTGATTTTTTCTCTAGAACTGAACCACTGATTCTCTGGCCACTGGAAAAAATCAGATACTGCAAGTTCACACACCAATTTGGGACAAATCTGAAGGACCAGCCCAGCTTTAGGACTCTTGTTCCAACAAGAGTAGAACTGAGCCTTCTTCTTCAGTCCAATGCCTCCTCATCACTTCTTTATGAGTGTATGTCCCAAGGGTACATAAAGAAATCTGCATAAAACTGTTTCAGATTCAGCATCTGGGAACCCAGTGTAAGCAAGTTGATATGTAGTCTTGTTTCTATTTAATGCAAAGGATTATACTGGAAAAGAGAATTACAGTAAGCATCCCTGTAGGTTATGCCTTAGCTTGAGCTTTTATGTAGCCTCTTCTCTCTTCACCCCATCAAAATGTCTTCTACCTACCACCCTGCCATGACCAAAATCTCTCTAAACATCCAGCTGCTGCAGTCTCAGTAACACTCCCTGTATCCTTATCTCATTAGGACTACCCTATTGAGAAGAGCAGTGGAAAAGTTCAAGACTAAAGAGCAGTTGAAGACTGAGACCAGAGGTTAATAAGCTATCTGGTACTTCAAAGGCAAAAGGATAGGTGATGACACTTTGAAAATGGCATCCAAGGGTGCAGGGTAATGACATGCAGCAATTAATCTGCCTCATACTCATTCCACACCTTAATTCTCTTTCCAGTTTCTCTAATAACTCTTGCCCTTTCTTATTCTCTCTTCCCTCCTCACATTAACCTTCCTAAATCCATTCTAGGCTATGAAATAATATTTTTTAAAAATATGTTGACCAAATAAGACCACATGTTTAAAAACTTTTATTTGAAAATTAGGTAACTTGAGTACCTGGCATGTAAATGAAATCTCTAAACTAATTGGAATAAGCTAACATTTATTTGAGTATGAAACACTTTCCTGTGATTGATAGTTTAGATAGAAAAAGAAAACAAATTTAATGTCCTTTCTTAGGTAATAATCTGAAAGTCTTAGTCTAAAAGAAACTCTAAAGTTATTTGGTCAAGGGAATCATTTCTGAATTGAGTCTGGACAACACCAAGAAAATAAGGATTGGAAGGAATCAAATTCAAGCCATACACCTAAGACTGAAAAAGAAAGGATGAAATATAGAGTTAAATTTGCATTGAAGATGAAAATGTTGCCTCACTATATTTCCCTAAATGATTAATGTATTAAATATTTTTAAATTCTTACATTTGTGATATAAACAAGGAAGGTGGCATATGAGATAGAGACTGCAGAGAACCAAGAAGTCAATGACACTTTTCAAGGAGTTTTAGGTCAATAGATGTTAATTCTATGTTGATCCTAAATTGAGAAGAAAGGACAGAAGAAAGCACTTTGAAATACAGAGAGATCTGAAACCAACTGGCTCAGTGTGAAGGGGAAAATATGAAAAAGCTGAGTATCCTGAAAAATCAGCTTTCATCTTGCATATAGACTCACAACTTGTTTAAATAATCATAACCACTAAGTGAAAATATCCCAGCCAGCCTAAAAAGAGCTTACTATCCAATGCTGTACCAGAGACAAACATATTCCTAAGGTAAAAGTATAACAAAGGCTGCCACTTCACCTTTTTAAACAAGTAGCATTTTGTCTACATTTGCAGATTAGAATATCTGACTATATTTAAATTGTGAGCTCACTGTTAATCATATTAACAAGGTTCTGCCTCATCCACTTCAGTATACCGTTTCATTATCTAAAAGCTCTGAATGTTGATACTTTATTGAGAATAAACATTTGTATAGCTTTGCCTTTGAAAATCTGGCAATGGTGCAGAAATTTTTAGCTTTGTGTTTGTTCTTTACTATGCTTCTGTGCTCTAAAGCAGGTGTCTTGTATATCACAACCCAAACTATTTACATTACTAGAATAAGAATTTCTAAAAATATTTAAATACATTAACATATCCTGGGGCTGTGTCTGATTAAAATAACTATCACAGAAACCCAAAGAACATTGTCAGTTGGGTCAGAAGTCTATTCAATAAATAATAACAAGAATGCTAGCACAGATTAAGTAGACGAGTGTGAGTTTATATTCTAAGAATAAATTCACCTCTTCAGTATAATATACCCTTTCTGTAGTTCCTTTTGTGATGTCTGTGTTTCTGACAAGGATGCTATACCATTAATGGTAAACTCCTTCACCTATTTGTTAGGTGCTTGTATCTCTTAATTACACTACATACTTTCTTTTGGCATCTAATCTATAGCTTTCCAGGGTGACTTTATTTAAATGATTGACAGGATGACAAAGTCCTTAGATGCTGAATAACATTTGAATATTCAAATATTGTATATGACTTACAGGAAGTTGAGGGCACTAAAGGATCTATTTAATGTAATAAAGATCAAAAGGTAGAAGAGTTTGACTCAAAGATGGATACAGTTTCCAAAGAGACTTTACAAGCTACAAAATTGTGGACAATTTTGATGCATCTGTTCCACACAAAAGCTCTTTCTTTGGAGCAATCCTTTATGTCACCCTCAGGAAAGAACGCCTAGAGCCAAGTTCATGCTATCTCACTCCACCTCCTTTGAAATGAAACGATTAGTTCATGGCAAACATGTCTTTGGAGAAGCCAGTCTATAAGCAGGACTGAGGCCTTCAGAACGTCTCTCCTGGGGACTTAGAAGAAAGGGAGTTGGACCCTGGTCAGTTGAATGACATACCAAGGTTGTGTGATCTAGGACTGAGAGAGTCATTTTCATCTATGTGCATGGGGATACAGAAAAAGTCACTGTATAGAACAGGAAAAATTACACAGTCTCACTAGAAAGTGAAGTCAACTGTCTCATTCACAGAGTGATGAAGAATATGGCTTCCAGTTTTTCACTTCCTATTTCCAGTTAGCAAACTTGGTGGATGAGTATGACTTTTATGGATTATTCACTGGGTTAATTTAATTCCTTGTAAACCCCTTCTCCTTAAGGCCATGGGTTTCTCATATCAAAGAAGTCCTATTACCAAAGGATCCCTATTGGACCACAAGATCCCTAAGATATATATTTGTGTGTGTACTCAATCCTGTCTGACTCTTGGCAGCCCCACAGACTATAGCCAGCCAGGCTCCTCTGCCCATGGAATTTTCCAGGCAAGAATACCAGAATGGGTTGTCATTTCCTACTGGCTTTTAACACATGAAATTATAAAATAAAAGTAATTAATATTTATCAATTGTGCATTTCTGTCTTTCCAAACTGATGATAAACCTTTTTAAGGAAAATTATGTCTTAAACTTGCTTACAACTTTATTTTCTACCATGAGGTCACTTAAGAATAGGTGATAGTATAATATAAGTTGTTTATTTAGTATCTTTGAGAACTACTTTTAGACTTTGGCATGTTTCTCGGTATATCAGATTATCCAACTAGTTCTCAAATGTCCATTTCCACAAAGGTTAGTGAAAGTGAAAGTGAAGTCGCTTAGTCGTGTCCGACTCTTTGCGACCCCGTGGACTGTAGCCTACCAGGCTCCTCTCTCCATGGGATTCTTCAGGCAAGAATACTGGAGTGGGTTGCCATTTCCTTCTCCAGGGGATCTTCCCAACCCAGGGATCGAACCCTGGTCTCCCGCATTGCAGGCGGATGCTTTAACAGGCTTTGTTAAAAAATAACAGAAAATCACAAATGCAAGGATATACAAGTCATCATGCTATATCTGCTTATGTTCTAAATTAGAGACTTGGGTCTGTTTGGGTGGGATGTGGGTGTATATCTGGTGGTTTATCTGAAGGTCACAGTTCAATGAAGATAGCTTTTGTGGGGACCAAGCGTGAGGGAGGAACACATATCAACACATCGATCTAGAAGGCGTCCTTGACAAAGAGACCCAGGATCCAGCTCAGTGGGTTCAGAAGAAAGTTAAGTACCTTAGAGATTCATTTACTCTTTAAATATATTAATTCAAGACATATATGTCCACTAGAAAGTTCAGAATCATTCAGTCAAAAACTTATTCTTACTCTGCAGAAATCTTGGCTATGGTGTCACAAGAACTGTACTCTACGCCTGTGAAGATTTCCTTGCACTGTGCTGTTCGGACACCGTTAAGCCAGTCACCTGTTGTGCGGAAGGTAGTAATGTCGATGTTACTTTGGTCCAGGAGAAGGTTTGATGGCCTGTAAGAAAAGAAAATACCAAAGGGAGAAAGATCAGGAATCAGCAGAGTTGCTGTGTGTCAAAATTCAACACCAACATCAGCAGGAACCTCCAGACTTCATGTGGCGCTCCTGTTTATTTGTAAAATTTATCTGCCATGAAGCCTTCATCTGCTCAAGCTGGCAGCTTTGCAAGAACACTGTGTAATCATCTTGTCTCAGTGCTCCCCTTCTCTACTCATGACTGCTTTTTAAATTACTGAAACTTTGCCTGTGAAAAGCATAAATATATCCATACATACTTCTATAATTTAATTTGTTTATCCATTAGCAAAGATGGTGGTAATTTAGGCTGCAGTTATAGCTGACATGGCATTCTGAACACTCTGTTGTCTGCTTTGGTGGATGGATTTGTTTCCAATATTAAATTCTGCCTACTGAATGTTCATCTGCAGACATTGTACAGGTTGCTTTCTAAGGGAAAATTTGAACAATGTAGACTATATTTACATAAGGATGTAAAGTTGGCATGGATTTAATGTCACTATGTCATTAAAAATAAAAAATTAAAAAGAAATAGAACACACTAGATGAGTAACAATAAGTGAAAGTCTAACAACTAGGACAACACCAAATATAATACAATATAAATATATATATATATATACACACACACAAAGATAGATGATAGATAGACATTGTGACTGATTCTTATTGCACAATATAGTCAGCAAGTAACAGAAATTTTTCAGTTCTATCACTCAGTCATGTCCGACTCTTTGTGACCCCATGGACTGCAGCACGACAGGCCTCCCTGTCCATTGCCATCGGAGCTTACTCAAACTCAAGTCCATCGAGTCAGTGTTGCCATCCAAACATCTCATCCTCTCCTTCTCATCCTCTTGACCTTCTCCCCCCACCTTCAATCTTTCCCAGCACCAGGGTCTTTTCCAATTAGTCAGTTCTTTGCGTAAGGTGGCCAAAGTTTTGGAGTTTCAGCTTCAACATCAGTCCTTCCAATGAATATTCAGGACTGATTTCCTTTAAGATTGACTGGTTGGATCTCCTTGCAGTCCAAGGGACTCTTAAGAGTCTTCTCCAGCACCACAGTGGTTGGATCTCCTTGCAGTCCAAGGGACTCTTAAGAGTCTTCTCCAACACCACAATTCAAAAGCATCAGTTCTTTGGTGCTCAGCTTTCTTTATAGTCCAACTCTTACCGCCATACATGACTACTGGAAAAACCATAGCTTTGACTAGATGGACCTTTGTTGGTAAAGTAATGTCTCTGCTTTTTAATATGCCATCTAGTTGGTCATAGCTTTTCTTCCAAGGAGCAAGCGTCTTTTAATTTCATGGCGGCAGTCACCATCTGCAATGATTTTGGAGCCCAAAAAATAAAATCTGTCACTGTTTCTATTGTTTTCCCTTCTACCATGAAACGATGGGACTGGATGCCACGATCTTAGTTTTCTGGATGTTGAGTTTTAAGCCAACTTTTTCACTCTCCTCTTGCACTTTCATCAGGAGGCTCTTTAGTTATTCTTCAATTTCTGCCAGAAGGGTGGTGTCATCTGCATATCTGAGGTTATTGATATTTCTCCTGGCAATCTTGATTCTAGCTTGTGCTTCATCCAGCCTGGCAGTTCATGTGATGTACTCTGCATATAAGTTAAATAAGCAGGGTGACAATATACTGCCTTGACGTACTCTTTCCCGATTTGGAACCAGTCTGTTGTTCCATGTCCAGTTCTAACTGTTTCTTCTTGACCTGCGTACAGGTTTCTCAGATGGCATGTCAGGTGTCTGGTATTCCCATCTCTTGAAGAATTTTCCACAGTTTGCTGTGATCCACAGTCAAAGGCTTTGGTGTAGTCAATAAGGCAGAAGTAGATGTTTTCCTGGAACTCTCCTGCTTTTTCGATGATCCAGCAAATATTGGCAATTTGATCTCTGATTCCTCTGCCTTTTCTACATCCAGCTTGAACATCTGGAAGGTCACAGTTCACGTACTGTCGAAGCCTGGCTTAGAGAATTTGGACCATTACTTTGCTAGCATGTGAGATAAGTGCAATTGTGGGGTAGTTTGAACATTCTTTTGCATTGCCTTTTTTGGGGATTGGAATGAAAACTGACCTTTTCCAGTCCTGTGGCCACTGCTGAGTTTTCCAAATTTGCTGGCATATGGAGTGCAGCACTTGCACAGTATTGTCTTGGAGGATTTGAAATAGCTCAGCTGGAATTCTATCACATCCACTAGCTTTGTTCATAGTGATGCTTCCTAAGGCTCACTTGACTTCACATTACAGGATGTCTGGCTCTAGGTGAGTGATCACACCATCGTGGTGTCATCGTGGGTCATGAAGATCTTTTTTGTATAGTTCTTCTGTGTATTCTTGCCACCTCTTGTTAATATCTTCTGCTTCTATTAGGTCCATACCATAAGGACTGACATATAATTACAGATCTGACTACAGGTCTATGACAAACTACAAGATCTGGTGACTCAAAGAACAACAGGGATAAAAAAGAAATGGAGGAAACCATGTTTTCATCTCGGAGGATCCAAGAGAAGCATTCTATTGGTAAACTGCCTTTGGGTTGTTTTTTCAGCTTTCAGTGATCTCTTTAATTGTCCTGTGACTCATAAGATTGGGACTGGTTACCAGGTAGACACTTGACTGTCTTTCTCTTTATTCTTTCCTCTTAGTATGGGTGCTTGAGCAAATAGTAGTTATGAAGGCCTTTGCTTTGAGATGAACAATAATAATAGCCATAAGGATTATGTTGAACAATTATGAACACTAACAATATGCCAGAGACTATACTGGCATAGACTAAGCATAATACACAGATATGAAGGACTTTAATCTTTATGTTAGTTAGACACTGATGCTATGTCCCTATTTCTAGGCCACAGTACTGGAGTGGGTAGCCATTCCCTTCTCCAGGGGATCTTCCCAACCCAGGGATTGAACCCAGGTCTCCCACATTGCAGGTGGATTCTTTACCGTCTAAGCCACCAGGGCAGCCCAAGAATACTGGAGTAGGCAGCCTATCCCTTCTCCAGTGGAGCTTCCCAACCCAGGAATCAAACAGAGGTCTCCTGCATTGCAGGCAGATTCTTTACCAACTGAGCTATCAGGAAAGCCAAATTAAAGTTATGGAGTTTGTAGTTTGTTTTGCTGTGTTACAGTTTAGTTTTAACTAACCCTCACAGGTCATCTAAAAGAGAGAATGAGAAATTAAGCATTATTTTACAAAGTATTATCTTTCCTTTAGGAATATCTAGAACATCACAAAATATAAATATGGCATTTTATAAGTTATTCTCTTTTGGAACTTATGCATAAATAATTTTCTATGATTCTTTAAATTACTAATCTGAAAAATAATTCATTTTTTAAATCATTGAAATTTCTTGCTTGTGTTCTATTTTCCTAATAATTTGAGAAATTACAGAAATAGATACACAAGCCAGGTTCCAAAACATGCACAATATTCTTGGGTGGTTTTGCATGACCATCATGAATGAATAATCCTTGGTCACTGGCCAACACTGGATATAATATTATACCCATTGGATAAGACTTAGAATCAGTAAACAAAATTGATAGGTGTAGCATTAAATCAGGTGTGAGGAAATTTTCTAAGAAAAATGAAGTGAGACCTAGAAAGGATACAATAAAATATTGGACTATCTACAGGTATGCACGCACACTTACATACACTCACACCCTAAAGCTTGGATTTCTACAGTAGCTGAAGCACAGACTAATCTAATGTTGACTCTTGTTGACTCTTGGTCCCATGAATAGCAGTCCTTTTTTATTTATGAGCTTGTGGGTATGAAGAATCAAACCCCAGGACATTTATTCAGAATATTTACGAAGTGTGCCTAATAGCAAAATGCAGAATTTTTCTTTTTCAATTCAAATGGTTTGTATTTTTAAACTCAACAATATAGTCAGACTCAACAAGAATTTGGAAAAAATTAGTACAAACAAATTGAAATAAAACAGGACAGGCGGATTAGGGATTAGAGTGACCCCAACCGAGTCTTTCTGTTTATTACTTGGATCAAAGTATAAGGAAGACAAAGAATGACCTAATTTTAATACCAGTGACCTCAGAATAACCAGCCCTGCAAAGTATCATTTTTCCACTTCCAGGATTTCTCTGGGGAATTCAAATAAAAATTGGTTCTTTTCCTCCTCCGAGAGGACATCTGGAGAGTTTATCAATGGATAGGAATTTGTCTCTCACTGTGAAGAGCCTGTGATGTCTCTTCATGCGCACCAGGGGAATGTAGGCTTTTTGAGCAGCTGCAGGCATTGGCGTTTTTTTAGACCTAGCCCCAGACATTGGGTCTGAAGGGGAAATTTATAGGCTGGGTGATGTGCACTGTGAGCTCACACTTTTACTAGACAAATTAGATAGGTTTCAATCCGTGCAGCTGTAAACGATGTCCTGCTGAGTTCCACCTGATCTTTTACAGCTTTTCATAAATCAGTACCTACTGGCCGCAGACTGCAGTCATTAAAAAGAAATCATGGAAATTACATGTTTGCTCAGGGGAAGCAAAAAATAACTTTCCTCCCTTTCTTTCTGCCTCCTTGGATTTTGGTTTGTGAATTATTCTTTTGTGGATTTTCATACTGTTGCTTTAAAGAGGTATACATATATTTTCTTCCCACCAGCTCTTACTTTATATGTAAATGCCCATAACAGTTAGCACCAGATACTCGGGACAAATGTCAATAAGTAACTGTTAGTACCAGGAATATCTTCTTATAAGTATCTTATTTCAGTATTGCACCAGAATTCTAACTCTAAAATTGAATGTTAAGTTATCCTTTTATAATATAGAATGACTCTTTTGGGTTTACAAAGGGCTTTATTTTTTATGCATTAAAATAATGATTTATATGTATTTCTTGAATGAATAAGTAGATGCCCACTGAGTCTAGAAGTAAATATTAGTAATGTTGAAGATGTATTCTATCCCACTATAATTATGTG